CCCGTTCATGCTCTGTCTCTCTCTGTCCCAAAAATAAATAAACGTTGAAAAAAAAATTAAAAAAAAAAAATTGTATCCTACTTGCTCCTGTGTGCTATTGTAAGTGTGTATGTCTACCCATTGCTTCCACCCTGAAAAATTCTCAGCCCTTATGTCTCCCAATAAATGCCATCTTCCTCATAATCTTCATTGTATTTGCTTATCTGAACTATTACTTTCAGTCTGTCTCTGCTATATCCTGGTTGATCTCATCACTTCTGGGGAGGGGGGGGACTTCATTTTGTCTTCAATGGTTTCTAGGTTTACTGTGTGTCTCCCCTTAACTTTTAAAATTTTATTGTCCTCGGGGCACCTGGGTGGCTCAGTCAGTTAAACATCCAAGTTTGGCTTAGGTTGTGATCTCAGGGTTTGTAAGTCCAAGCCCCATGTCAGGCTCTGTGCTGACAGCTCGGAGCCTGGAGCCTGCTTCAGATTCTCTGTCTCCCTCTCCCTGCCCCTCCCCAACTCACAGTCTATCTCTCAAAAAAGAACAAATGTTAAAAAAAAAAAAAAGTTTAATTAAAAAAGATAACATTTCATTGTCCAAAATCAATTTTTCAATTCCAAGTTGTTTATACTGAAATCAGAGAAAGTACCCAACTTGGTTTCGTAATTTCCTGTTTTTAAGACTATTATTCTAGTTTCTTTCTCAGGGTTTTAAATATATTAAGAAAGAGTCCTTCAGATCCCACTTGTTTTTATTTGCTGGATGATTCAGCCTTCTTGTTCATTGGATTTGCTGCCATTATCTTATGCCATATAATCAGCTGTCTTTATACTCAAAGAACAGGCTGGCTGGTTAGAAAAAAAAAGTGGAACCCACTCACTGTTGGGGGCTTTGTAGGCAGCGTGGCTTGCTCTGATCAAATGCTGCTGTATAGGGGTCTGTGGCTGACTTTCTTTCACCTTTTCTAAAAGACTTCATGTTTTTTCTTCGCTATCCAGAGGATTCTGTCTTTGGTCTATATTAAAATGTGTCTTGGCATTGATTTTTCTTGGGTCAAATTTTCTGGAAATATGGTACGTCCCTGATTTTACAAAGTCAGATTTGTAATTTAGGAAAACCCAAATGTCCTAAAATTGTACGCAAGTTTTTCATTTCATTTTTTAATTAATTTTTAAATTTACATCCAAGTTAGCATCTGGTGCAACAAGGATTTCAGGATTCGATTCCTTAATGCCCCTTATCCATTTAGCCCATCCCCCTTCCTGCAGCCACTCCAGCAACCCTCTGTTCTCTATATTTGTCTTTTATGTTTTGTCCCCCTCCCTGGATATTTGGATATTTGTCTTTCTCTAATTTTGCTTACCATAATACCCTCCAGTTCCACCCACGTAGCTGCAAATGGCAAGATTTCATTCTTTTTGATTGCTGAGTAATATTCCATTGTATATATATTATACCACATCTTCTTTATCCATTCATCCATCCATGGACTTTGGGCTCTTTCCATACTTTGGCTGTGGTTGATAGCACTACTATAAACATTGGGGTACATGTGTCCCTTTGAAACATCACATCCATATCCCTTGGATAAATACCTAGTAGTGCAATTGCTGGGTTATAGGGTAGTTCTATTTTTAATTTTTTGAGGAACTTCCATACTGTTTTCCAGAGTGGCTGCACCAGCTTGCATTCCCACCAGCAGTGCAAAAGAGATCCTCTTTCTCCGCATCCTCACCAACATTTATTGTTGCAGGAGTTAATGTTAGCCATTCTGACTTGTGTGAGGTGATAGCTCATTGTGGTTTTGATTTATATTTTTCTGATGCATGATGTTGAGCATTTTTCACGTGTCGGTTGGCCATCCAGATGTCTTCTTTGGAGAAGTGTCTATTCATGTCTTTTGCCCACTTCTTCACTGGATTTTGTTTTTTGGGTGTTGAGTTTGATAAGTTCTTTATAGATTTTGGATACTAACCCTTTATCTGATATGTCATTTGCAAATATCTTCTCCCATTCCATCAGCTGCCTTTAGTTTTGCTGATTGTTTCCTTCCCTGTGCAGAAACATTTTGTTTTGATGAGGTCCAACACTTCATTTTTGCTTTTGTTTCCCTTGTCCCCGGAGATGTGTTAAGAACTTGATGTGGCCAGTGTCAAAGAGGTTGTTGCCTGCTTTCTCCTCTAGGATTTTGATGGCTTCCTGTCTTACATTGAGGTCTTTCATCCATTTTGAGTTTATTTTTGTGTATTTTCCATTTAATTTTAAAATGCTTTTCTTCCTAATTTCATTTTTCTTACCTGGTCATTTCCAAACCAGAATCTTGTTTATACAGGCAATCATTTCCCTTTTTAAAAACTTGTTGTAATTTGGCTATAATGCATAGCCTCTTGTGGTAACATTTTTAGATAAAAAATCTTTTTATTTTTTTATTTTTTAATGTTTTATTTATTTTTAAGAGAGTGAGCACAAGCAGGGAAGGGACAGAGAGAGACAGAATCTGAAGCAGGCTCCAGGCTCTGAGCGGTCAGCACACAGCCTGATGTGGGGCCTGAACTCATGAACCACCAGATCATGACCTGAGCCAAAATCAGATGCTTCACCAACTGAGCCACCCAAGTGGCCCTGAAAGTCTTTGTTTTTCCTTTTTGTTGCCATGTCAATTATGTTTTCCCTAAACCAGAGATTTGGAAGAACTGGCATGGGGCAGGTAAGAGCCATGCTGTAAACTGGCAGGCATTACAACAAACTTGTAGTGACCCAAGCGTGAATGTGAGCATCAGCCTTGCTGCTTTTGTAACACATAACCAAACCAGGTGCCAGGAAACTTCAGGGCTAGCCTGCATGGCCCTCACCCTAGAGAACTCCCTGCTGGCTTTAACATACACACGCTCCATTCTCTCTTTCTGGCAGCCCTGAGTCCTACATTTCAAAGCTTGACAGGTCTCCTGATTTTATCAGAGAAGCTAATTTTCCCATAGCCTCTGTGAGAGTTGGTCTCCTTCCTTGAAAAACTGTTGTGATGAGTTCTGAACTTGGGTAAAAAAACCTCATTTTCCCAAACCACAGTCATGTAGAGGCTCGGAGTTGTGGTTTCCCCTTATTAGCTTTTTCTTCCCCCCATTCCTATTGTATATGGAAAGTCCACTGTCTGGGCTCTACTGCCTCTGCCCTTCCCAGCAGCCATCCCTCCCACCCCAATCCTTACACACACACACACACACACACTGCCACGCACACACCTCGTCCACACTCTGTTGGAGCCTGTCAGGTGGATTATACACACATCACCTGGGTGTGGTTGCCACGTATCACTAAGAGCATCTAAATAAAATTGTTAAGTAGAGATGAATTTTCCACATTCCTCAGTGTTTCTTGTCCCTAGGGGTAATAGTTAAAAAATTTCAACAGGAAAGAAAATCTCTTTAAAGGGATCTACTTCATCGGGGCGCCCACGTGGCTCAGTTGGTTGAGTGTCCGATCTCGGCTCAGGTCATGATCTCACAGTCCGGGAGTTCGAGCCCTGCATTGGGCTCTGTGCTGATAGCTCGGAGTCTGGAGCCTGCTTCAGATTCTGTGTCTCCCTCTCTCTGACCCTCCCCTGTTCATGCTCTATCTCAAAAATAAACAAACATTAAAAAAAAATTTAAAGAATCTACTTCACCTTATCGGAAAACTCTGTTTCCTCCTACCTCGTGTTCACCAGGTTTAATGACCTCCTTTTGCGATGCCGGGAACTTGAAACCTGGACCCACGATCTTGCCCTTCCAGCTGTAGTGTGGCTTCCTGGCTTCTTCAACCCTCAGTCCTTCTTAACTGGTAAGGGCTCCTACTGGGCGGCCCCAGCTTCTGGCACAAACCCTGCCTCACCTGCCCTGCTCCCCAGTGCTCATGACACAGGAGGGAGGGGCAGGAGTGATAGCTGTGTGTGCAGAGAAAGTAAAGTTCCAAGCATAGCAGCCACGTGAAGTGGGATATAAACATTTTCTGTCAAAGGCCACGGGGGTCTCTTCTCCAGTGGTTCCCTTCTGCCCCCACAGTGCAAAACCAGATGCTGTGTAACCAAACGGGCCTGGCTATTCCAGTAAAAGTTCATGTACACAAGCAGGGAGGTGTCCTGCAGGCCTCAGTTGGCCATCAGTCTAGAGCAGCCACACGCACATTTCCAGGAACCCGAAGCACAGCACAATGCCTCAGTCAGAAAGGCAGCTGACTGTGGGCCCCTGGGAGCCCTTTTACCACTACATCCCATTTCCTGCTCCTTCTCTTCCCACAGCAATCATGCAGACCATGGCTCGCAAAAATGAGTGGCCCCTGGACAAAATGTGCTTGACTGTTGATGTTACCAAAAAAACCAAGGAAGATTATGGCCATCCTCCACGGGAAGGTGCCTATCTCCACGGGCTCCTCATGGAAGGTAAGATAGCACAAGCAGCACCGGTGTAGTTTTTAATTTAGGAGCTTTCTTCGATCAGTTGCAAGTTGGTATCTGTCCTTGGTTTACTCCACTCCTCTGTACTCACATCTAGCAGTTGTCTACCTCGTTTTACCACATTTAATGCCAGGATCTGGGTCCAATGTCAGCCAAGTTTTAAGGCACGTAGGGTGATGGCTGTCACTTAAATCTGCATCTGTCTCTAGTGTTAAATTACCTGTGGCATTAAGACCTACACTAAAAAGATTGTGAAGCGATTAAAAACTGTCACTTCACTCTGACATTTTACTACAAGATTTCTTTAAGCCCTTAAGATGCCAGTGCATGCGAATCTCTAATGTGGGTGGGTGAGAGGAAAGGCATTCATTTTGAAGAATTCAATTTTTTAAAGAGAGGGCAAACTCATTTGCTTTATTGTGCCTGAATTCTTGGAGAGTGTGTTTTCAAACAAGGTTTAGATCTTTTGAATTCAAATTAGTTCATTTTTCAAAGGAAAGTTTAGACGTGGAACCCTGAGCCCTGCCGCCAGTGTTTCTGTGGCACCCCTTAACCTCCCACACCAGTAAGGAAGCCAACAAGCAGTAACGACAAAACTGAACATTTATTGCTTCCAACACACCACACTGTTGCAATCCTTGTGTTTGTGCTATAGGTGCCAGATGGGACACACAGTCAGGAACCATTGCTGATGCCTGCCTCAAGGAGTTAACATCTGTGATGCCGGTTATCTTTGCAAAAGCCATACCCACAGACAGACAGGAAACTAAACACACCTATGAATGCCCGGTGTACAAAACCAAAATGAGGGGCCCAACCTACGTGTGGACCTTCAGATTGAAAAGCAAAGACAAGGTGGCCAAATGGGTCCTGGCAGGCGTGGCCCTGCTGCTGGAAGCCTGAGATGGCCCCTCAGGCTCGGACAACACAGGCCTTGGCCGGGGGGGCCGCACACATTAATTTACTGAGAGCCATAAAACACACTCCAGCTTCTGGAATTTTTAAGTAACTTACATGTGCATTAATTTTGCTTAAACACCGTCCTTAACGGTCTCCCCATCAGCAAGTGGGATTTGAGTTCTTGCACATAAACAAAATCTTTTTAAATTACAAAAACCTAGAAGCCCCTGACCTCAGGCAGCAAGTGAATCCTGAAGGAAGAGGCAGACGGTCCTGCCGGCCAGCAGTGTCCCCAGAACTCCAGTGTCGGTAACGTGACAGGTGACTTTTAATAAAAATAAAACTCTAGTACTCAAGATCTATGGGTTAATTGCACTTTGTAATTTAAGAGAACATTCTTTCTTTAACATAAATTTCCAATGACCCAGAGAAGCACTAACTACCTGGTCTGAACTGTGGTCACTGCCTGGGAGGTAAAGATCAAGGCACCAAACAGTGTCAAAGGCAAGAGCTGCTTACGCAACGTTTGCCCTGGAACTTACCTGGACTTTAACTCCACCCCATTTAAGCTGTGTTTTTGTCATATGCAGATGCTTTTAAAACCACTCACTACGCATAGGGGCCCGTGGATATATGTAAATAGATTCCTCTGCTTTGCCGTCTTCCTGAGAAACCTTTTCAAGCATATAAACAATCTTAAAAAAATAGTATTTAGATCTACGAACAACTTCTGTATAAAAACACAACTGGAAAAAATCGTAGGCACCCGTGGGATGGCATATGTTGCTAGAGTTCTTTACGGTGAGGTGGCTGGTTTTGTTCTTAATCATCTTCTACCAGCTGCTTCTGTAAGCTGAGGAAAAGAAGGGAGGCATCAGTGTGATGGGTATGGAGACGAACACAAAGCCGGGTTCTAGGCTTGAGTGCACAGCCCAGCCCCTCTGCGGCAGGCCTGCCCTGACTCCATGGCCAGGCAGCGGGAGCCACGGGCCTCACTCCTGCATACCAAACCACACTGCAGAATCCCAACGCAGCTTCCTCGGCCCTGGAAAGCAGTAACCGTGTCGGCCACGCCCTTTGCCCCAACCTCTCCCCTCAGCCTGCTTGCTTCCATTTCTGTTTTACACAATGAGGGGGGAACTGGGGATACAGGCAGTGCCAAAGCTGAAGATGCTAGCAAAGGAGGGAAACGTTCCAATAGGGAACACATCAGCCCTGAGCTGCTCTAATGCAAGCAGCTAGGGAATGGATGGCACTCAAGATGGTTTTTAAGCATCTGCCCGAAATATGGCAACCACTCCCGCCTCCACGGTCTCCCCGGCTGGAGCTGGAGAGGACAGCCTCCATTTGTGACCTGTGACTTACCTCTCCAGGTATTCCTTAACATTATTGTAACCGTAAAACTTGGCTAGGTGAATGAGGATCCCTGTGGCACAGCGGCCATCGCGCTTGCGACAGTAACTGCAATTGCAGATCCCACGGCAGGGAGGACACATCCAATCCTGGAAGAGCAGTTTCCCGTTACCTACATTGTGCTCAAGCCCGGCTCACTTGGTCTCTCCTCCAACCTTCAGTCACAGGATACTTCTAGTATATGGCACAGGGAGACTAAACGAGTCTCCTCCCCATGATTCAAAAGGCCCAGAGAGGTTGACCACCCAGGGTTCCACGTGTGGAGAAACACAGAAAATTAGACGCCTGCTTCAAACTGTGGAGAATTTTAGGAGTACAAAAGAGCAGCAAGACGGACGTGTGAATTCTAGCTCTTCTACTTCCTAAACCACATAACCGGAGTCGTGGTCTATATTCATCTGCAAAATGGGGACAGTGATTTACCCCATGACTGCTGTGAAAGAGGTCACATGGCAGGGGTCAAGTAAGAGCACAGACTCTGGGGCCAGACTGCCTAGGTTCAAGCGGATACATACTAACCATACTATTATATCACTTCAAGGAGGGAACTGAGGACCTGGGAGGTTATATACTCGACTTCATAAATTTAAATGACTTAGTAACAACTGCAAGTCGACTGTGTTAGGAAAACACCTTAGACGACAGCCAGGCACACAGTGACACACACCTGTTCCCTGGCCTCGCCTGAGGTAAGCCATGCTGCTGGAGGAAAGCCACACAGGTTCACCTGACAGACCATAACGGTAGGAAAGCAAGGCTTGGACCCTGGAAAACCCAGTCATCTCTTCTGCCCTATGGGTCAGCTTGCTCTCTTTCCAGAAGGAAACCCTTTTTTTTCCTCTGGAGTGTCGAGGGGTAGACCGAGCTCTGTAGCTACAGGTCCCCGATCATAAAGGGTCCTAAGAGCCCATCCATCTCAGCTTGCTTCTCTTTGCCAGTGCAATTCACAAGTGCGCACACCATTCCTACCGGGTCCAGCAGTGCAGATCTCACGTCCTCCCCGTAGCGATTCCGCAGGCACGGCCCACAGAACTGTCCTCGGACCCCACCGCAGCCCTGGTTCCGACACACCGTCTTGGTGTCGATGGTCTTCTGCCTGCACTGATGGCAAGTGTTGCCCTGAGGGAGGAAGGCGGTGGGTGGGTGAACGCGGGACTTACAGGGCAAAGCGCGCAAGCCCACATGCTGTCTATGTATGTTCAATAGGGCGTGAAGAGGCCGAGCCTCTCGCCCCGCAGCGAGCAGCACCACTTCTCTGGTCCAAACCACAGGGAAACCTATTAGAGCAAGTAAGAGCAGGGCACCTAGAAGAAATGAGATGGTCAGAGAGGCCAGCAGAAAGACAGGAGAGGAAGAGCCCACAGAGGGTGACAGGGGCCCAAGTGGCCCTGAGCCCACGGCAGCCACATTTGGCTCTGGCCCAGCTTCTGCTGATCTGGAGCTTTTCAGTATAAAATTTCCCGGTGTTAAAATGTTGGCAATGACATTAAAAACATTTTAATATTGCCTTAATGGGACACCGCCTCATTTAAAAAATGATGCATAACACCATAAAGCCTCCCTCCAAATCACTGTTTAAAAGAAATTTTAACTCATTTCCTACCAACCACAGATACTGTCAAACTTTTTTTACTATGGTTCTGTTCATCAAAAAGCACACACACAAACACAGTATTTTTTTTCTTCTATGTTTAAAATAAACACCGGAGTGGGGGGGGAGGGGCGCCTGGGTGGCTCAGTCGGTTGAGCGTCCGACTTCGGCTCAGGTCATGATCTCACAGTTTGTGGGTTCGAGCCCCGCATCGGGCTCTGTGCTGACAGCTCAGAGCCTGGAACCTGCTTCGGATTCTGGGTCTCCCTCTCTCTCTCTGCCCCTCCCCCGCTCACGCTCTGTCTCTCTCTCAAAAATAAATAAACATTAAGAAAAAATTTTTTTTAAATAAACACCAGGGATACCTAGGTGGCTCAGTCAGTTAAGCATCTGACTTTGGCTCAGGTAATCATCTCAGTTTGTGACCTCAAAGCCCCACATCAGGCTCTGTGCTGCCAGCTCAGAGCATGGAACCTGCTTCAGATTCTGCTTGCACTCTCTCTCAAAAATAAACGTTAAAAAAATTTTCTTTAAATAAATACCATATAAATATTTAAAATGTTAACTATTATCAATATGCTCTTCCAAACTATATGCCTGCCTCCCCACAACTCATGTGCATCCCCCAGAGACCTCTCCTGAGAATTCCCGCAGGAAGCCAACTGCCTCCACCCAGTTACAGCCGGTCCTCCCAGTCACAAGGGAGGCGGCCTGAGGGTCTAAGCCCAGATGCAGTTTAAAAACAATGCAGGATTTCTAATACCAGTTCCTTGGACTCCCAGTTAGAATCACAATCGTGCAAATTATTCATCATACAGAATTTACCAGAACTTTATCGTAGATTTTATCTCGAACGGTGATGGCAACATTTTCTAAGTCCTCTTCAGTGATATCCTCCACTGGCCGAAAGGAAGATACACGGTGACGCCGTCTATACGCCTGGCATTTCCCCTGCAAGATGAGCCAAAGCAGAACCTGGTGTGAGATGTTCTGATTAAAAAACATGCATAAAAATTTCACACTCTCAGAGCTCCAGTACCATAAATGTTAACTGTGTCCCTCTCCGATTTCCCTGGAATCATCTACTGAGCTGCCACCACAGACACAGTGCCAAACCTCCTGCACGGCAAGGTGGTCCCACAATAAAGGAGCAGCTCAGGTTTACCTGATCAACAAGTCACCAGCCGTGAACCCTGTAAGGACAGAGACGAGAACCACAACGGATGGCCAAACCTGCCAACGGGAAGGGTTGTTTCTCGCTCTAGCCCAAAAACACTTAGAATGCCCCCTTCCTAAAACTCAAAGGGCTAGGAGGAATCACTGCCCTTTCCCACAGCCAAAACCCCAGGGCAACCTGGCACCACTGACAGGCCTTTCGTGCCCCCCATGAAGATGAAGTAGAGGGTCCTAACCCTGGAGCAGCTCCTCTGCTCTACTCAGGTCAAGGCCTTTCTCCAGCCTACAGCCTAGATGGGGGTGAGGGTTCTTCTCAGAGTGTGGTCCCGGCAACACCAGCTCCACCTGGGAACCTGGTAGAAATGCCCATGCTCAACTGCTGCATACTTATTGCTTAGACACACAATAATATGTTTATGGTGCTGAGAAAATACCCCGCTAATTGTCTTCCTTCTCCTGAAACTGTAAAACTCTTCTGCAAATTTGGCAGCGGAGACAGTGAAGTTCTCCAAGGCAAATTTCTCGGGAGGCCGCGCACTCCGGGTGGGGTTAGTGCGTCTTGTGATCTGTCCCTCGGAGAAAGCCCGCCTCACTGTTCTCTTCTTCTGAAAGCAAGAGCACAGACGTTTGCAACCAGGTGCTTTCTTGAATAAAAGCCATCTGGCAACAGATTATGTTCATCAGTATTGGAGTAAGTAATTATAAAGGAGTTCTACTTACAGAGGCTGAGTTTGGGGTTCGTACTGGGAAGAAATCCGGCATTGAGTTCAGTTCTGCCAATAACTGAGCCAGCTGAAGTTCAGAACAAAAGAAAGGACTGTACATCAATATTGCCATGCCAAGTTTGTCTAACGCCTTTATCCCAAGTCTTCAGTTTTGCCAACAGTAAAAACTTGACTAAAGTAGTTCATGTGGGATCTCAACAGTTGTTGTATTTTTTAACCTCATATGTAAACACATTTTTTAAAGTTTATTTTGACACAGAGAGAGAGACTGCGTGGAGGAAGGGCAGAGAGAGAATCCCAAGTAGGCTCTGAGCTGTTAACACAGAGCCCGACACAGGGCTCAATCCCACAAACCGTGAAATCATAACCTGAGCCAAGGTCAAGAGTCAGGTGCTTAACTGACTGAGCCACCCAGACACCACACGATTTTTATTTAATGTTTATTTTGAGAGAGAGAAGGCATATGCAAGTGAGGGGGGGGAGGGGCAGAGAGACAAAGGGAGAGAGACTATCTCAAGGAGGCTCAGCACTGTCAGCGCACAGCCCAACACAGGACTTGATCCTAGGAACAGTGAGATCATGACCTGAGCCAAAATCAGGAGTCGGATCCTCAACCGACTGAGCCACCCAGGCACGCCAAGATTTTTATCTAATGAGATATTGATAGCATCCACAGAAATAAAATCTATGCCCATTCCTTACATACGAAAGCGTGACATGAAGAAGTGGTCCTTGGAATGATGAGACCAGGTGTATGAGGCTGGAATCCTGACATGGCCACTAATTCACAGTGTGACCCTAGAACAGGTCACTGTGCACACCTAAAGCAAGTTTCATCGTGTTCAAAACAAAAGGCTCAACTAGATTGTTCTGACAGTTGTTTAGAGCTCCAAGAAAACTGTTTAAGTTAACTTCTCATCACTAAGAATAACTTAATGGAAATATTCCCAAATAAACACCTAAGAATACCAAGTAACAGGCAATAATATTCTAGTCAATTAGGATTCTTATTTATACGAATGTTTAGGCATCATTAAAAAATCATGAACATTTATTTTAAAGATGCAGAGAGATGCAGTGCTAAAAATTTCCCTTAGCTAATAAGTATAAACAGGTCTTAGGATAAATTTCTCCCACAAATAGGATTTATGTAACTTTTTTTAATTAAAAACAAATTTTTTAAGTGTATTTACTTTTGAGAGAGAGAGACAAGAGACAGAGCACGAGCAGGGGAGGGGCAGAGAGAGAGGGAAACACAGAATCTGAAGCAGGCTCCAGCCTCTGAGCTATCACCACAGAGCCCACTGCGGGGCTCAAACCTATGAACCGTGAGATCATGACCTGAGCCGAAGGTGGACTTAACTGACTCAGCCACCCAGGTGCCCCTAGGCTTTCTATTTTCTTAAATAACTTATTAGACGTGTAAGATTGCAAACAAAGCATCATTATATTATGCTTTTTTAAAAGAAATTATTACAAATATACCAAAATGCTAAAGTGATTGAGTGGCAGAATTTTATTAATTCTGTATATGCAAAATTACGAAGCAAACAATAGTTACTGACCAAATACAGAAAAACCAAATACACGGAACCAAGATTTTACCTTGTATCATTATTCCTTCTACTGAAGACTTAAGTGGTAACGTGACTCAAAACTGTTCAGTGTGTTTTAATACCTAGGCCTCTTTCATTCTCTCATATGATGTCTTAAAACCCCAGTGGGTCATCAAAGAAGAAAGATTCCTGTTGAAAGCCCCCGCCTAAACCGCACCTTGCAACTCTCAAAGTGGGCTTCTCTTTTTATCCTTAGTTTCTTTGTGCTGGGAACCGGCCAAGTGCTCAACCCTCTCCTGTCCAATACCACCAGGAACCAGGGCTAAAAATGGTCCTGGGAGTCTCTGTTCCCAAACCAGAGCTCACCGGGTAGTACCTGGTTGGCCTTCAGGAACAGAGAAAGGACACAGAAGAACCAGAGCACATGTCCTGCCAGAAGCCCAGACGACAGCAGGTATGAGGGCAGCTCCGTGAGCCTCTGTGGTCGCTAAGCAGGGCTCAGTGCCAGCTCCTAGACCACCCGCCGCCAGGCCTTACCATGGCTTTGTTCTCCTTGATGTTCATGGTCCTTTTCAGCAGTGCATCCGAGCTCTCCTGGCCCTCATCCCTGGAGTCATCCTCAGATTCAGACACCGAATCTTCCCTTTCCTTCCCCTGTCTGCAGCTTCTCTTTCTTCCAAGAATTGCTTTTTTATTGTCCTGTACGCGTTTGCTAGGAAATAGCGGCTCAGAAGAACTGTCATCAGATTTTTTTGCCAGTTTCTTGGTGGGGAATTGAAAGGCTACTCGAAGACCAATACTGCTTCTCCTCGGCCTGCTTCTCCTGGGTGTAGCCTTTTCTTCTTCCTCCTCTTCTTCACTCGCTGAAGACACCTTACCAGCATCGCTCAAATCTGACTCCACAAGCTGACAAAATGAAAGGGCAAAGACGATGTTTTGTGACTGACCTTCAAAAGCACATCGCTTAAAAACACTCTGCCATTAGAGAAAAAAATGAGTAGAAGAAAGCCTCCCCTCCCTATTAATTAGTTCCCTCTGGTCCATTAAGTGCTCAGGTGGTCTGTTGAGGACTATGGTCCCAGGGCAGGCTCTCCACCACTGCCTGGGGACCCGGCCACAGCCACCAGCAGACTGTTCCCTTCCCAGCACGGGCTGGAAGCCATGCTCTCACGGACGGGGCTCCTCCACTGTGGAACATATGGAAGCCAAGTAGTATGAGGCAAAGCCAAAGAAAAGGCTATGTATGGCCTAAGAGTTATCCTCACACAGATGGAGTGCTAAGGGAAAACATACTGACAATTCTGCCCTGAATAGCAGGAACAGGACAGCTGACTTCACCTCAGCGAGGTGTCGGAGGAGCAAGCAGATGACTGGCCACTGGGGTTGGTGAGGGAGTCTCATCCCCAAGACATGATGGGCCCTCACGCCAAGGGACGTCCCCTCCCCTTTTCTGCAACCAGTAGAGCCATAGGGTGAAATCGAGGCAGACCCTCTGTGGCTTTGCTGGGAAACACCCGTTCCATCAGCTCAAGAAACTCCTGCCCCCAATTTTTGGATTCCACTTGGAATAGGCTTCTGGCATGAACACGAAATTGAGATTGACACACAAGAGCACAGTAAGAACAGAAGGCAATGGCCGGTGATATTACCCAGGAGACGGCGGGTGACACCTCAAATACAAGGGGGCCCTTAGCAATGGCAAAGATGGGCTTCAACATCGAGACCCAGGCCACCTGCTGGGGATCTTTCCTTTACCACGTGCTGGAAAAGTTTAGTCTGAGAGCCTCTGTCAGGGACTGCACAACAGGCCGCTGTGAGGAGAGCAGGGAACCACAGCATGATGGGCTTGGGACTGAGGGAAATGACTCAGCTTCCTCCTCAGTGATCAGCCCCCACGTTCTAGCTGGACGCAAATTAGAAATAAGGCAGAGGAAGGAAAGAAAACTGCAGATAATTTCCAAATCTTGGCGTTTTGTATCAATCCACAGCAAACCAAGTAGAGAAATGAGACTATGGTTGACTGGGCTTTTTTTTTGTTTTTTTTTTAAGTATCCTGAACTTTCTACATTAGTAGCTTTGGAATTTGAAACAGTGGGATTGAAGGAATCTAGTTTTAGGAAGACATTGTTGGAAGAACTTCAGAGCAAGGTGGTCTCAGATTGGCTTTATCTTCCTCATCATCTAACCAGTATCTCTTTACTAAGGACTCTCTATAAGGGACTAAAGTGGACAAGAGCAAACTGGAAACACCAGTGGAGACTCAAGACCACAGGACAAGAACACAGCTGTGGTTGCTGCACATACGGCTGTAAGACCACCCAACAAACACCCTGGCTAGTAATATCCTATTATCGGAAAAGATGGTCTCACCAGTCTCCACTACAGTGGGCAGGAGGTTGGGGAGGGAGGCAATAATGTTTGCTTGCCCACTGAATTTTATTTTTAAATGTTTATCTTTAAAGAGATAGAGCGAGCACGAGCAGGGAAGGGAAGAGAGAGGCGGGGGGAGGGGTGGGGGGAGAATTCCAAGCAGATTCCACACTGTCAGTGCAGAGCCCAACATGGGGCTTGACCTCGTGACAGATCATGACGGAGCCAAAATCAAAGAGTTGGACGTGCAGCCGACGGAAAACCCAGGTGACTCTGCTCACTGAAATTTAAAATAAAATCTGCAGGGGCACTTGGGTGGCTCTGTCAGTTACATGTCTGACTCCTGATTGTGGCTCGGGTCATGATCTCATGGTTTGTGGGTTTGGGCCCCGCATTGGGCCCTGTGCTGACAGTGTGGAGCCTGCTTGGGTTTCTCTCTCTCTCTCTGCCCCTCCACTGCTCACACTCTCTCTCTCTCTCTCAAAGTAAGTACACATTTTTTAAAAAGTAAAAAATAAATAAGTAAATAAAATAAAATAAAATCTGCAGGTGGACCTCCCCTAAGCTATGAGTTAACATCAGTCAACAGAACATGTCATGATCCATACCCCAAATATATGGCCAGTGAAAAGAAAAAAGACTTCTGGGGTCACTAAGAGTACGGGATACCCATTAGGGTTTGGAAAGATCTTAGTGTCTTGCTGTCCAGAACACATCAACTGCCTTACCAGCAGCTTCCGTTTTGAAGGCCAAAGGAGGGCTTGGGGACTAGGCTGGCAGAGCTCTGTGTTGCTCTTCCTGGTGATGGGGTTGGGGGATCAACATCAAACAAGCCAGCCTACCATTAGGGCTTTCAGGCCTTAAGATCCCCCCAGGAAAAGTTGAGCGGCATAGCAAACCAATAGTTACAGCTTATTTAAATTTCTACACAAGTTCCACACCAGATTCTGCTGCTTAGGAGCTTCTGAACATCAAGAGGCTTTACCTCTATCCTTTATCTTCATACCCAAGAAGGAAGTGGTGTAATGATTTTGGGGGAGAAAGGTATGCTCTTTTTCAGTTAATGGAAAACATTTTTATGTCTGAAAAAAACCCAAAGGTTTTAAGTTTCGCTTTTTGTTTAAATTTTTTTAATGTTTGTTTATTTTTAGAGAGTGTGTATGTGTTTGTGTGTATGTGTGAGAGCGAGCGAGTGAGCTCAAGCAGGGATGGGGGCGGGGCAGAGAGAAAGGGAGATACAGAATCCCAACTATCAGCACAGAGCCCCCACACAGGGTTCGAACTCACAGACTGTGAGATCATGACCTGAGCTGAAGTCAGACGCTTAACCAGCTGAGCCACCCAGGTACCCCCCAAAGGTTGTTCTTTAAAGGTACCTTGAGATTCAAATACTAGTTGGCAATAAACTGGCCTAAACATATGGAGTAAAGGAAAATCAACAAGTCTCTTGAAGGTCAAATGCTAAGAGATTTCCCTCAGGAATCTGACAAGCCCAGGTCTTCTTTATCATTTAAAGAGCACGTCAGCATCCAAATCAAGAATGCGCAAGTAAAGCTCTAAGTTTTGCCACAGCTAAATTTTTGCCACATTAACTCCACACCTAAGAACATGACTCCGCACACAACAAGAAATGACTTTAAGGAAATTGCTACCCCCAGACAGACTGTCCTCTTTTCAGAGAAAAGATATTCAAGAAAGTCTGAAATAAATTCTTTTGGAAGGGCAATAAGGGAAACTGAGGTAAGTCTCCCCAAACTCCAAAGGTATCAAAGAAAGACAACTGGATTTTCTCTCAGAGAATAATGGATTGGTGGACTGGGGATTAGCCTTGGAATACCAACTTTTATATTTTATTAACTGACTTTTAAGATAAACATGCGGCGGGAGGGGGGGGGGGGGGTGCCTGGGTGGTGCAGTCGGTTAATCAGCCGATTCTCGATCTCAACTCATTATCTCAGTTTGTGAGTTCAAGCCCCACCTTGTGCTCTGTGCTGATGGTGTGGAGCCTGCCTGGGATTCTGTCTCTCCTCTGTGCCCCTCCCCCACGTGTGCTCACTCTTGCGTGCGTGCTCACACCTTCTCTCTCTCTCTCCATAATAAGTAAACTTAAAAAAAAATTAAGATAAACATGTAAGAAGAAGTCATTCATTTGCCAAGTGACTTCTTACAAGTGAAAATACAATTCAGAAACAAGACTGAAAAATATTACAACCCATACTCCCTCGTGTTGATAATTATTACCATTACTTCTGGGTTACTGTTTACATTCAGATCATTCTGTGTAAATCCTTCAAATTCTTCCGTTTCTGAGTCAGTGTCCTCTATAAAAATTCTTCTTAGCTCTTCTGTGAAGTATTTAGAATGGAAACGCACATCCTGCTAAATTAAAAACACACATATGTCATAAAGGAAAAAGAACAGAGGTTACCAGGGGGGTCGGGGACAATGAGTTGTTGTTTAACGGGTAGAGTTTCTGTTTGAGATGATGAGAACGTTCTGGATAACAGCTGACAGACGCACAACACTGTGCATGTACTTAATGGCACTTAGCATCTTGCTTGCAAGAAACTGGGCACTTGCCTGCACTTAAAAAATGGTGAAATGGTAAATTTCACATTATGTATATTTTACCACAATAACAAAACATACATATACATACGCATTTGCTACAGCTTACGAAAACGGAATAATCTGAAACAGCTGAACAACTTGAAACGATAAACAGCATTATTTCAAAAAGTCAGAATGGCCAGGGGCTCCGTCAGCTTCTTGTGTGACTGGGGAGCACTGATAGAATTCCGTTTCTCCCGCCAGGGCTGCCCATCGGGAAGGTCTGCTCACAGAGAGCCAAACACACACGGGAAGGAGCCGTGAGGAGAAGGCCTGGCTCCCTCCCACATGCTGGCCTTCCTTCCTAGCAGCCATCCAAATCCACATCCTCCGAGTTGGTGAGCATGCCTCCCTTCCAGAGAGGGCAAGTTTCTCTGCAGGAAGGGGCCAGCGCCTTTCGCGCCCCTTCCCGCCCACGGCTTTGCTCCATCACCACCCACCGGAAGGGGTGATGGGAGCGGCAATCTTCCCAACTCCCAGGAGAGCCCCTCCTGCAGGAGACACGAGGCCAGCAACCTCCAAGAGGTAGCAAGTGAGCAGACAGAAAGATGCTCTAAGACTTTTAAAAAGGAAAGACATTTTCCAATGACTCTTTCGGTCTTTAGAACCCATAAAAGGAAAAATACTCTCTAGCTCTCTAAATGGAAAAATAGCTCTCTAAAGGATTATCTTGAAAGAAAAGAGGGAAAAGACAGACCTGCAGTGCAGAAAGGAGACCCACAAACCAGCCTCCTCCAAGCTGGCAACCAGGGCTGAAGTCCGTGTCCCCAGTTGCCTCTGACGTCTCTTCCTCCCACACCCGATATAGCAATGACCCCTCATCATACCACATTTAGTTGGGAGAATCTTGATCTCCCCCCACTGCCTCTCTCTGACTTTAATTATACACTTCTTCAGATCAGATAATCTCTGGAGAAAAATAGATATAATAGATGAGTGGAAAAATTTACAGGGGGAAAGAGAAAGAAATGCCTATATCCAGCATTTTTTTAAGCTTAAATGTCTCCTATGAATTATTACGGGTAATTGGAGTGAGTGTGCTTGGAGCTAAATTACTTTGTTCCTTTGTTGATAGCTATGGTGCAGCTGCTTGAAAAAAAAAAAAAATACAAACACAAAAGGGAAGTTTCTTTAAAGTGAAATTCAAATTGTGTTTAAGGAAGACCAAAGTCAACATTGCTACATACTGTGTGCAAGTTCATGCAGCTTCTCTCGGCTGGTTACCATGGATCGGGAAAGTGTGGGCTCAGGGTGGTAAAGCAACAGGCCTGGGTTTATTATTAAAAAGAATGGTGCATAGCTGGCTCCAAGGAAACCCACCGTGAACCTGCCACCTCCAAGGGTAGATTATATCCTGCTCACAGAGCCCTGAGCTGGCCTCTGCAGGCTGTGTTCGGGCAATGGGGTCTATGTGTACATTTATCATACACCCACAGTCCCTGCCTAGGGCCCAGAGAGAACAGGTCACATCCTAGAACAGCAAGTTTCAACCGTCTGGTCCTCTGGCTCTCTTTAGCCTTTGAGCTGGCCTCAGAGGGAAGTGGTCGGCCTGAGAGAAATCAATACCTTTGGTGATGAGTTCTAACAGAGAAAAACAACTTAGCCACAGTCCTAAACCAAGGCCTCTGCTTTTCTTCTCCTTATTCCACAAGATATTAAAAAAACGCTGTTTTTTAAGGGGAGTCTGTATGAAGTAAAATATCCACTCCACATTCTGGCTGCAATCCTGGTTACAACCCTCACACAGCTCTTGGTTCTGCAGCATGTGATCCTTTACAATCAATACCAGGCAGTATGTTCTGCATCTTGGTCACCTGTGTTTATGTGCCACAATCAGGGACGTAACGAAGTAACAGATAAGAGGATCTAACAGAGTGCTTACATTTTTTACCTTGAAGCTCATGGGACGTGAAGAAACAGACTGGAAAACGACGGGGCCTGAACCAGTTAGACCAGCATCCCACCTCAATTCTAGCCAATGGGCGCTCGTTCACCAACAGGGGCTGAGCCCAGAGAACATGAGGGAAGGGACAACACAAGTAGGCAGTCCAAGCCAGGAAAGCTGGAAAGCATCGTTCAAACATTGCAGAGGTTACAATTTAGTGCGGAGTGAGACAGATCCACAAGTAACCATGATGAGGACCAGAGTTGTAAGGAAGATGCAACATGGCACACAGGAAAAAAGAAAACCCAGTAAAACTTCAGGAAGCAGCAGCATCTAGACTGGATCTGAACCGAGGTAGAGTCTAGAAGGACACGCAAGCAGAAGGCACAGCATGGACCACGTGTACAGAGGGCAGACCAGTGCACGATGAGGGCGTCCACGCAGTTTTGTGTCTACGGCACCACGGAGGGGCAGGGAGAGGGAAGAGGCTGAGAGGTGATGCTCCCAGGTTTGAAACACCCCGGCTCAGACATTTTTCAGACGTGGGCGCTCAGACAAGTCACTTCACTGCCCTGAGCTTCAGTTTCATCCCCTGTGAGATAGGAATAATAACAAAACCCACACTGTCCCAGGGAGGTACACGAATTAAATGCAATCTGTATGAAAAGCACACGGTCGCGGGCCATCTAAGGCACACTGGCGACAGACTCGGCAGGGGTGGCCAGGACGGACAGGATGGGCAAGCTTGACGGCACAAAAGTAGCAGCAGTCACAGTATCAAAAGCAGCTGTTGTGGCTTTTTGTTTTAAATTTTGAGTGGAGCGGACACAGAATGTTACATTACCTCTAGGTGTACAATATTATACATTATGCTAGGCTCACAAGTGTGGCTACCATCTGTCAACATACAACTCCATTACAGTGTCACTGACTGTATTCCCTAAGCTGTGCCTTTTATTGCCCTGACTTATTATATTAGCTCCAAAACTGGAAGCCTAGTTCTCCTTCTCCCCTTCACCCATTTTGCCCATCTCCCCAGTTCCCTCCTTGCTGACAACTTTGTTCTCTGTATTTATAGGTCTGATTTTGCTTTTTAATTTTTAGATGCCACCTGAATGAAGTCATAGCGTATCTGTCTTTCTCAGTCTCACTTATCTCACTTAGCATGATACACTCTAGGTCCATCCATGTTGTTGCAAAAGGCAACTATCTCATCCTTTTTATGGCTGCATAATATTCCATCACATACATTTTCAGCATCTTCTTTATCCATTCTTCTTCTGATGGACACTTAGGCTGCTTCCCTATCTCATCATCAGGAAAATGCAAATCAAAACCACAATGAGGTGTCACCATACACCTCTCAGAATGGCCAACACAAAAAGACAAGAACTCAACTGTTGGTGAGGATGTGGAACCCTCATGCACTGTTGCTAGGAACGCAAACTGTTGCGGCCACTGTGGACAAACAGTATGGAGGTTCCTAAAAAAATTAAAAATAGAAATACCATATGATCCACTAATTCCACTACTGGATATTTACCCAAAGAAAATAAAAATACTAATTTGAAAGCCTTATGTTTACTGCAGCATTATTTACTGTAGCCAAGATATGCAAGCTGCTTTGTTTCTTAATGCCTACAGCACTGCTGGGCTCTAGGCAAAGCCCATCACCCACACCCTGCGCTGCTTAGAATGCTCCTCCTGGTGGATCTACAGGCTCTCCCCTCCCCCACTGCCTGACTGTGTTCAGATGGAGAGACTACTGGCTTCTGAATAAGGCCATGATCATGACCAGAGCTCAGTTCTGTAACTGAAGTAAAGGCTATGAGGACCCTGGGAGCCGAAGGGAGGAGAAAAGGGAAGGGATGAAGGACAGCAACATGGCAGAAGATTCAGAGACTCCTGCAAGGGAGCTGGGGAGATGGGAGAGGAGAAGGAGGGGTCAAGAACACCAAAGATAAGGATAGGAATGAGGAAGACAAAGGGACAACCAGGGAAGGGAAAATGGTGAGTGTGAGATCTCCCTTGATCAAGGCTGGTCCAACTGGCAGTCAGGTTACATGTGGGGCTGGAGAGATGGCAAGTCATTGAGAACTTGGAGGTAATGGCTGAAAGCAGGCTAACCCCTAGGTCACGAAAAGGAAAGGTCTGGACACAAAATCCTGAAGAACATCCACATATGGGGACAGGAAATAGAGATGACCACAAAGAATGAATGATGTGAGAGAGAGGAAGAAGCCTGGGGAGTGGAAGCAGGTGGCTGGTGGGTCAAATGCTACGGAGACATCAAGGAAAGTGAGGACCACAGACACCAGGGAGGCTACTGAACCCGAGAAAGACCAGCTCCCACAGAGGCCACAACACACACAGGCAGCCGAGTGACGAAGCAGGCACTACCCCTATGTAATTAACTGCTTCTCCTCCTGTACTTGCCCAGTTGAAGCAAGGCAGGTTTAATTTACAGCCTTTTAAGACAGGCTATGGTCCAGGGAGGATGAGGAATTTTGAGAGCCACAATGAACTCCGAAGTAAGTGCCACAGAAGGCTAGCTATTTTGACTGGCCATGCTGCTGCTAAGGCACAATATAAACCTCCAGGAATCCAACTCTCAGAGAAATGCAACTTGTGTTTGCCAGAGATCTAAGTAATTAAAGAAAGAATAACGTTCTCCCCAGCACGTCCAGGAGTGAGGTGCCGGAAGAACCACGCCGCAGGAGCGCAGAAACACAAATGTCTCATGGTAACCACATGTTCCTGCACTGCCATGGCTCCTGCCAGCCATGTGGGAGCACTCAGAATACAGCCTCAACACAGGCTGCAGCCCCGAGGTTGCAAAGAAAATGGCTGCGATGTGAGACCTTTTTATTAAAAAAAAAAAAAAAAAAAAAAAAAAAAATTTACTGTATACAGAAAGGACTTAAACAGTATAAGTGATGTAGGAATGCTCACTGGTTCTTGAAATATGAAGGCATAATGCTTCAAAAATGCTCAACCATCAACTGCTATCACCAATCTCAGACCACACTCAAAAGAATACCCAAACCAAGATCCAGGCTTCCAAAAGACCACACCTGTCAGAAAAGGAAGCATCCGTACCTGTTTCCCTGGCTCCAGAGAGTCAAAACTATCACAGCTCTCTTCTGATGAGAAGGTTTCCATGGGAACATCATCTTGGAAACCGACAAACTCTTCATCATCACTGGGGGCGTTAAAGATGTCAGCCACTTCTTTAGGGATCTGTTTTGGATTCAAAAAAGAAGAAGCATAAAACCAGGGGCTGGGTTCACTTAGGGGAATTTTCTAGAGAGGAGTAGGAATTAGCATCTCCTAGCTCTATCAATCTGCCATGGTCGCCCAGAAGACCCCAGTAACCGAGCAAAATGTGCTTCAGTTGATACCTCAGGGCAACAAAAGAAGAGGGGGAACGGAGAACAAAACTTGTTCTTTTTCAAATTCTAGAGATCTATCCCATCTTACAGAGAATGTCAAGGCCATAGCTAGATAGATGCTGTTTTTGACCTCTTCACACAAAAAATAAGGAAACCATCACTGGTTTCTGAGAAACCACAATCTATTTGTCTCCTACACTGGATCTGTCTTTAAATGTCATCCATGTATGGGGTGCCTGGGTGGCGCAGTCGGTTAAGCGTCCGACTTCAGCCAGGTCACGATCTCGCGGTCCGTGAGTTCGAGCCCCGCGTCGGGCTCTGGGCTGATGGCTCAGAGCCTGGAGCCTGTTTCCGATTCTGTGTCTCCCTCTCTCTCTGCCCCTCCCCCGTTCATGCCCTGTCTCTCTCTGTCCCAAAAATAAATAAACGTTGAAAAAAAAAATTTAAAA